AAAAAAAAAAAAAAAGAAACTTAAGACATCTTTTGAAATTATTATGGATCAACCAAGTAATGTTGTTCTGTGAAGAAGGCTCATATTTATTTATATGAATTAAGAGGACTAATTTTTTTTTCTCCAGCTTGTGGTTACTGGGATGAGAAACCACCCTATGAATTTGCCAGTACAACTAGCTGCAAGCGCCTGTGTATTTAATTTAACCAAACAGGACCTTGCTGCAGGAATGCCTGTCCGACTTCTGGCTGATGTGACCCATTTGCTGCTCAAAGCCATGGAACATTTCCCCAATCACCAGCAGGTAAGAATATGTGAATTCCCATTCAGATAGTCCTTTAGTGTCTCCTCTTCGTCTCCTACCTCCATATAGTTCAGTTTAATAAACCAAGGCTGCAAATTTATATATCTTTCGAGGCTGTATAATGATAATTTTTTTTTTCTTTTTAAGATAGGGTCTCACTCTGTTGCTTGGGTGAGAGTACAGTGGTGTTATCATAGCTCACTGCAACCTATAACTCAAGTGGTCCTCCTTCCTGCATAGCTGGGACTACAGGCACACATCACCACACCCAGCTAATTTTTAAATCTGCATACTCTTGAACTCCTGGCCTCAAGCTATTCTCTTGCCTCACCCTCCTAAAAGTGCTACAATTGCAGGTGTGAGCCACTGCACCTGGCCTGCATAGTAATAAATTTGTGGTATTACTGAGTATAGAAAAACAGAGAAGTTTAATGTCTAAAAGCATTTAAATCCATGTTGCAAGGCTGGGGGTGGTAACTCACATCTGTAATCCTAGCACTCTGGGAGGCCAATGCTGGTGGATTGCTTGAGTTCAGAAGTTCAAGACCAGCCTGAGCCAGAGTAAGACCCTCTAAAAATAGCTGGGCATTGTGGTGGACTCCCGTGTAGTCTTAGCTACTTGGGAAGCTCAGGCAAGAGAGTCACTTGAGCTCAAGAATTTGAGGTTGCTGGCTTGGTGCCTGTAGCACAGTGGTTTGGCACCAGCTACATACACTGTGACTGGTGAGTTTGAACCCGACCCAGGCCAGCTAAACAATAGTGACAACTGCAACAAAAAATAGCTGGGCCTTGTGGCAGGCGCCAATAGTCCCAGCTGCTTGGGAGGCTGAGGCAAGAGAATTGCTTAAGCCCAAGAACTGGAGGTTGCTATGAACTGTGATGCCACAGC